GCTGGCAGCGGCTAACGCGTCACAGATCTTCTTGTGCTGAGTGTTGTCCATGTAGTCGAACGGAGTGTTTCTCGTCAACAGACCTAGTAAAGAGTTATTATAAGTCTGTGTGACATCAGTTGAAACACTTAATTCACAAATACAGTAGAGTCTCCCTACAAAGAAGTCTCTCTACAACGAATTTCTCCCTATAACGAAATTTTTAATCGGAATGTTAAATAACATTCAAAATATTCTCCATATAACGAAGTGGTTGTCTCCCTATAACGAATTTTTTCAGAGGTTTATCTTTTCGATTTTTGTCATTTTCGAAGAAAGTTGATAGTTTCTGTGCAACCAATTCGCTCACTCGTGCCTGTTTCTGGAACCACTCACTCTTAAAATGTGAAAATTTTTCTGAAAATTTAACATCACGAAATGCGAAGCAATGTAAAATAGCGGAATTTTTCAAGTAAAATAAACGTAAGTACATACTAGTGCATATTATTCTCTAAATTGGTGAATTGTCTTAACTTTTGAGCATTTTATTTATACAATAAAAATTAGTATAATTTTAACAAATTTATAATATATATATTACTCCATTTTTAATTGAAAATCATAATTAAATACATCTGAACTTATCGCACCTATTGAAAAGTTTGGAACATTTATTTAAATAACTGCAAAAATCTCTAATCTCCATATAAAGAAATTTTCTCTATAACGAATTTTTCAATTGGAACCAAGCGATTTCGTTATAGGGAGACTCCACTGTAATTATTGTCCGAAAACTTTGAATGACGCCGTCGATTTCAATAAATCTTTTTAATGGTTTAATTTTGTAATTACCGACTCCTTTAAGTACCAGATTTATTCCTCAGATAATATTTGATACAGTTAAAAGTATCAACCCATTCAGTAGAAATTCGCCACAATGAGAATATTTTTTAAGAAAGAAGTTTAATCCTTCTTTAATGATAACTTCCGAAAATACTAATTATTCAAATGGCTTTTGCCATATAATATCGAATAATAATTTTAACCCAAATCTCCAAATGAGGTTTCAATGACATCTGGAAGAGCGACGATGAAAACCTGATACAGGTTGTATGCATTTACCCATATACAGATAAATCATGCTCTAGAGAAGAAGGATCGAGTTTTGGGAGTAATGTCTACCAATAGCAAAATGACCACACCCTATCGCAGCGCCCCTAGTGGCGAATTTTGGAAGTTAGACCTTTCATTTCAAAAAATGTTGTTGATAGCTGAAAAGGCCAATTGACAAAGTATACAGCACCACCAATTTAGTAAAGTGTAACCCTCTAAAACACCAATGACTTGATGAAAAGCTCTTAAATGCCAACCAATGCCAGTCGCCAGTGTCAAAAAGCATGTGTCTTATCTCAATGTCTTCATTGCATTCTTTATCATAGCAGCCATCTTGCTTCCTGGCATTGGCGACTTAGTATTCGTTGGGGGTATGAAGGAGTACGTACTTGTGGATTTCAACCAAATGAAATTTTTCCATGCACGACATTTTGTATTGTTACAAAAATCGTCTGATGGGTGTACGTGAAAGCAGATTAACAAGCAGGATAATAAAAAAATAAATGTCTCTCTATTCCACGAAGATTTCAGCAAAACACTAACGTAGCACAGATAGCAAAACCCAACAGCACTTGTATAAATATCAACAGATATCGCCAATAAAACTCAGTTACAGCACTTTCAATAGCTCCTAAATGTCTCTCAGTTCACCAGTTTGCTTGCTGTCCAAACTTCAACTGACTGCTCTTGGTTTGAGAGCTTGCTTTTATACTTTATCAACAGGAAGTGACGTCATTACATAGCAAGTGACGTAATCTCTGGAAAGTTCACGAAATTACTGGCTCCCAGTAGAGATAGGTCCACAGTTCAGGATTTTTCTAGGAGATTCCTTTTGCCGCCAAATTTCTCGCCAAGATGCGCATGTCAGGGAAACAACTTTAAAAGCTTTGTAACAGTATTTTGAACGATGATGTAATGGGGCTGTGCTTGTATACCGCAGAATGAGAGAAGACTGCTTACCTAGCACTCTTTTCGAAGACGCCGCTGTTTTGTCCCACTCTGCAGACTCCGCGTTGTGATTTTCCGAAAGCCCTTTGGAAGACACGGCCACCTGTTCGAACAAGGTTCGCAGATCCTTCCTGGACCTCACCAGGAACGACCTGAAGAGTTCGGTGAATTGGGTGAAGTCCAGCTGGCTGGAATGTGTGATGGCTGGGCCGCAGGTGAGGGGAGGAGACTCTTCGCCCTGATTGGGCGACGACGAGAATATCCGACTCCGATCCCTAGAATGAACAACACACAGCAATGTCGCATTATGCAACAAAAACAATGTTACAGACAGAGAGTGATGCATAAATAGTGAAAGCCTTTTTCTATAAAAATGATTTTGGGTACTAAATTTGATGACAGCGGATAATGGATAAATTTATATTTTATATTAAACAGCTAGGAAAGAAACCACTCTTTTGAACACTAAAGATGGAATTTGCTATATCAGCTCCTTTAACCACTTAACTGAATAGTTTTCTTTGCTATCTAATAAGATGACCCCTCCTGTTTTGGAAAGGGGCTGCCGTTTTCATTCATCTAAGAAGGCATAGGATACTTAAGATCTTTATGGATCCTACATATTTTTTGTGTCAAATTATAAAGCTAATTAATGATTCAATTTTAGTTTATAAGACTAAAATTTCGATAATTCGATGCACGAGTATTCTCGGGCTGTTAAGTTAAGCGGTTAAGTCAATAAATCAAAATTACCAACATGTTTATCTTTAAAATTTGTACTAAGCACAACTTTTTGACGTAGACTTGCGTCTCTCCATAGTGGTCTAATGATGTGTCGGGAAGGGAAAAAATTATGACGCTTTTCGTGGTATTTTTAAACGCTTATAGCTCCTCAACCAAATAACATAGAGAGTTGGTTTTAGTTTCATTTAACAGAGAAAGGTGGACACTAAAGATTGCAAAAATAATTTTAGAATTTGTAATTACGGTTTAGTCACAGTCGAACTGCAAAGTTGGTTAAAATCACTAAAAGTTTTGATGACATCACAGCGACCGATGCGCGCGCACGCAGAGTAAGGCAATTCAGTCATCGATCTGAGGTTTACGCGAAATATTACTCAAGAATTGTTGAATTACGTTGTGCTAAAATTAAACGCTTATATCTCTGCAATCAAATTACATAGAGAGTTGGTTTTAGTCTCATTTAACAGAGAAAGATGGTCATTGAAGATTGCAAAAATAATTTTAGAATTTCTAATTACGGTTTAGTCACAGTCGAGTTGTAAAGTTAGTGAAACTCGCGAAGAATTTTACATAGATAAGAGTCATATAGTCACACTAGACTAATAGTCACTATAGACTATAGAGTTAATAGTCACATAGAGCTACTTTAGTCACAGTTGGGTAGGGTAAGTAAGTCTACGCCCCGCAATCCCAGCGGCCGTTTCGCAGAGACAGCCTCCTGTCGAATTTTTGTTCTAATATGTATGTTTTGACGTCAAGATCATAAACTATAGGAATTTGTTAACAACCTCCAGCATGGATGGATTTTGGCGGTTAATATTATTTCATCGAATTAGCCTTCTGCAAAGTTTAAACTCAGATTCTATTTTGACGTCGACTATTATCTATAATAACAGACTAACAAAACTAAAAATATCAGACATTTGGTACTGATAATTGTACGCGAACTATATAAACTCAGGATATATTTAAGCAAATGAAGGAAACTATAAATGAAAAATTTTAGTTTTGATTTTAGTTATCTTTAAAATTTATTAATCTACAAATAAAATATGTCTACAGAAAAAGGCAATTATATTTTCGTTGATACGAGCTATATCAGTCACTATAAGAGTGGGAGTACCGATTGTTGGAACTGAAACCAGGCGTCAAGGGAAATTCTGTATCATCAGAGGCATCAGCAGACTTCAAGTGAGACCGTTTGGTGCGAAGGGAAGGGCTCCTTCTGGAATATTCTCCCAGGATTTCAGAGGTAAGACTAGACTGGGATTTAGGACTGCAATCCTGTAATGAAAAATGAGCAATTTATTACAAATATTCTTCATAATTATAAACTTCAGAGAAAGTGATCTGATCCCTAACCAAGACAAAAGGAAAATTATAATGCAGATTTTAAAGAGGGAAGTATTGTTGATGGGTCTGTGAATTTTGGAGTTAATAAAAGTGAATTTTGATATAAGATAAATCTAAAAAAAGAATAAAAATAAAATCTGAAATGAAAAAAAATAATGATTGCAAATTTTAATTTACAAAAATTCCAAGAAAAAAAAATCAATTTGTTTTCAAGAACAGCAATAAATACAAATTGGATGCAGCTATATAACCTGGAAACAACTCCAAAACAACATTTTAAGATAAAGATGTTTCCGCAACATATTATTGAAAAGAATTCTATTGCTGCATTTTTTCAAAATTAATTATTGCATTATAAATAGTCTGTTGTACAATTGATTGCAGTTCAATTGAAATTGTACGCAAACTACACAGACTTAGATATAGTTTTCCGAAGTTCATAAATTGATTGTTCGCATAAATTAGTTCAATTTTCTGAAATACTTAGCTAATGGTTTTAACAAAGAAAAGCGGTTAATAAGTCTTGTTTCATTTCAAAAAGTTATCTTTCAAACAAAACAAGTATTAATTTTACTACATAATTTTAAGATTCAAAATTTATAAATTTTCGGCTCAAAACGAGAACATGGAACACCTCAAAAATTATGATTTTCATATAAATAATATCCTTGTTAACAGCTAGTTCATAAAGAAAATGAATTCTGGTTATCACATAAACTGTCATTTAAATCGCTCTTAACTCCAGTTTAATACCGAGACAATCACTTTTAAATTGATGGCGAATGTCCTGTTTAATAACGAGACAATCACTTGTAAATTGAAGGCGAATGTCCTGCTTAATAACGAGACAATCACTTTGAAATTGATGACGCAATGTGATTTCTGCCCAGTGCTCTGAATGTCAAAGTGAAGAAATTCATCCAAGCGCGGGTAAACGGCGGGAGTAACTATGACTCTCTTAATTTCGATTTTCGACCAATTTCCTTGACTCCGATCCCCGCCAGACTTTTCTCTAAGATTTTGGCTCGTCGACTTGCTCCATCAGTTCTTCTGGATCCGGAACAACGAGGCTTTATCGAGTCCGACGGCATAGCTCAAAATACATTTATGCTGGACTTTGTTCTAAGACATTCTCGGGAAAAAGTGAAGAGAACTTTCATTGCCTCTTTAGATCTCAAGAAAGCATTTGACTCTGTTTCTCATGAGGCGGTGTTCACCGCTTTAAGAGCTCAGGCGGTTGACCCCCGATTTATTGAACTTCTAAAGTCTATTTATTCTAACAGCACTACTTCATTTGCGCCTTATCCCGGCCAGAAGTTTAGAGTTAAGCAGGGCGATCCGCTGTCTTCCATACTGTTTAACATGGTCATTGACCAGTTAATAAAGAAATTAAAGGGTCCGGTAGGCCTGGAAATTGATGGTTCGGTGATGTCGATCGGGTGAAGAGCATCCAAATTACAGACAACCCCAAATTATTCTTTGCTCAAAAATTATACAATACGGTTGACGGTGCGGCGCTGGCAAATAGTGCCAAAGTTAGAAATCAAAATCTTTGGGTCCAAAGTCGGAATAAATTCCTTTCTGGAAGGGATTATGTGAACTTATTGAAAACGAAGATAGCCTGCCTTCCAACAGCAGCAAGATGCGCAAGAGGCAGACCAGCCAAAGACAAATTCTGTCGGGCTGGCTGCTCAAGGAAAGAGACACTTAACCACGTGTCTCAGGCTTGTCCGCGGACTCACGGTAAACGCATCCAACGTCATGAGGCCGTGGTAAATTATATTAAACGTGCATGTGAGAATCGTGATTTGAAGTTATAACTGAACCCCTGTACAAGACCACAGTCGGCAATCGAAAACCCGATTTGCTCGCGAAAAAAGATGGTAGGGTTCTAGTGATTGACGCACAGGTCGTGGGTGACGCCGTTGACTTAGAGCGTGCCAATAACCGTAAAATCTCGTATTATCGGGATAATGTTGATTTGGACAGACAAATTCAAACGCAGCACGGCTCCCCCGACATTTCATATCTTGGTGCAACATTAAATCTTAGGGGCGTCTGGTCGGCGAAATCTGTTTTTGACCTTGTGGAAAAATTTAAAGTCTTGAGCCGAACAGACGTCCCCGTAGTTTGCACCCGTGTCTTATTGGGAACATTTTCCGGATTTACGATGTTCAACCGGTCAACCGCTCGGGCCGCGCGGAGCAAGCACTCATGAACCTGCACATCTCGCCTTTTGTCAACAGCGCAGTCTGACGGATCTCCAACGGACTGGTTCCTTGTAACTTCTTATTCTTGTCATTGTGTTACATTTGTAATAACTTGTGTATTATGTATTGTCGGTTGACTAACTGTAAAGGGATCCGGGCCCCCTTGATAGGCCCGCAATATAACCTTTTTCTCTTGAATAAAGGATTTTATTAGCCAAATGCCTCGTCATCTATGAATGCAAATAAATGAGACATTTAATCGGACGTAACTAATCATATCCTTTTCCCCTACAGCTTAATTATAATTCATTTCAGGTACCAGTGACCCAACCAAGTCAAACTCATCATTTTAGCCAGGGCTATTGGTGACAAATATCATGTGCCGGAGATTGTGAACCACTGAGTTCGTGTGCTCCGTTAAACAAAATCATCGCTGGTGTGGTGTTTGAAATTGATGGCGAATGTCCTGCTTAATAACGAGACAATCACTTTGAAATTGATGGCGAATGTCCTGCTTAATAACGAGACAATCACTTTGAAATTGATGGCGAATGTATTAATGAGTTTTCTTGGTGACTCGTCGTATCCGTGGTGAGTAGAGTTGTTTGGATATAATGTTGTGTTAACTGGCTGGTTATATTCTGTATAAATTTTTGCTAACAGCTGGTGCATATATATATTCTAACTGCTCTAACGCCTCCGGTGTAGGGTAGATACACAGAGTAGTTACTTCGAAGGAAACAACAAATAAACAAGTTCTATTTTTATGCATTCTTCCATAAGTTCCGAAATTTCTGAACGTAGTAGTAGGAACAGAATTTTTTTCTTAAGTGCTACTTTTTATTTAAAACTGAATTTTATTCTGACATTCTACTTTAGCAGTACGATTCTTTTTCACGTTTTCTGTTTTCCTCTAAATAGAAAGACATTGCATTTGAAACATTAACTAATCTACAGAGGAATCATCACCAGAAAGTTGCTCGACATCAAGATATTTCTTTCTTAATGATTGTTGCGCTGGCTTCCTTCTACGCCTCCTAATAAATGGCGGAAAAGAAAAGTTTTGGAACTTATTTGGATGTTCGCTTCGGTTCTTCCATTTCCTCTTCGCACAATTCCACGAGACATAAAGAATTGCCCAACAGCCTTTTTGGGAGGTCCGCACAGAAATAAATAAATCCCCGATTTGTGTGTTTCTGCAACCACACGCGATGAAAAGTAATGATTGGCGAGGTTTACTCACCCGGATGGCTGCCAGCGAAGTTTGAGACTTCTTTTTCCGCAGTTTTCCTGTGCTCACGCCAAAACTGGCGACGCGCTTGAAGCCAGACGTGTCCATCGATGACGAACTGCCCACGGATCCGAGCGTCCATTTTCGACCACCAAACACCTGAAATATTACAGAGCATACATAAACCCCGAGTTGAGAGAAGATCGCCTTTGAAATGTCTGCTTTGTTGAGCGCGGGTATATGATAGTTTAACCCTTCAACTCACGACTTTTTAAATTTCAAAATAAAAAAAAGGTTTTTGGCATGGCATGTTCACATATAACAACAGAAAAATACACAAAAAAAAATCAAAATATAATTGTTATATTATTAAATTGAATTTAATGAACGTATCAAATCACTATTTCTTTTTTTATAAAACAATAAAAAAAAGTAAGTACAGTGGAATCTCCCTATAACGAAATCGCTGGGTTCCAGTTGAAAAATTCGCCAAGGAGAAAATTTCGTTATACGGAGATTAGAGATTTTTGCAGTTATTTAAGTAAATGTTACAAACCTTTTAGTATGTGCGATAAGTTCAAAAATATTTAATTATGGCTTTCAATTAAAAATGAAGTAATATTTATTATAAATTTGTTAAAATTATACTAATTTTTATTGTGTAAACAAAATGCTCAAAAGTGAAGACAATTCACCAGTTTAGAGAATAATATGTACTAGTACGTATAAACATAAAATGCGTATTGTCACATCCATTTGCTGTCCCCACAACTGCATTACCCTTCACGTAGCATTCTATTTTATGTGTTATCGCTGGAACTTTCTCCAAATATCGAAAAGATAAAGGTCTGAAAAAATTCGTTATAGGGAGACAACCACTCCGTTATATGGAGAATATTTTGAGTGTTATTTAACATTCCGATTAAAAATTTCGTTATAGGGAGAAATTCGCTGTAGGGAGACTCTACTGTATTTCAAAACTAATATCAAGTGGTAAATACCTGTAGAAGCAATTGATGAAACCATCAAAGATGCAAGACTCCTTTTAAATGATAAAAACTGCGTAAATATGTTAATAGGTGTATCAGGAATTGGATAACTGACAACTACAGACCTATCAATAGGACCTGCGCTGTCCATGGAAAATGAAACGAATGATTATTATCCAGTCTCTTATGATGTTTCTAATTTGATACAGCGTGTACGAGCGGACAAAAATTTTTCTATTCATTAAGAACATGAAAAAAATATGTATCAAATTTGATACAGTATGCAGTGAATTGTTAAGACATTTATTAACACGTTAGTCGTCACGACTCACGTCTGAAATTTGAACCATATATCTAATTAGATGACTCCTTCTCTGCTATCTCTTAACTACAGTAGAGGAGGGATCATCTGATTAGATAGTAAGTATGAATCGTATTTGATCTCCGTATGAATCGTATTTGATTCACGTGTTAAACATAAAGAACAGTGAGCATAATGATATAATTGAGAAAATCTTTAATGCTAATCCATTAGTTGATGATAAATAGGAAAAATTTCCACAAATTATAAAAAATCCATTCCTTCCATTATACTCACACTTCCTGATTTTTACTCTTGTTAAGTCTTAAAACTGTAAACTCTTAATTCTTTGAACCCGGCTAGAGTGAGAATTCAAGTGCCTCAAAAACTGGAGTAAATTTTCATTCATGAAATCAGAATGAAATCCTCCTTTTTTCAACAGAAATTCCAGGAGGAACAAAGAAAGGAACTAATTTTCTCCCGTAAAATTCATACAGGCGCCCGAACCTCAGTCCGGCCTGTGTCGAATGAGGCAAGATAGGGCTCATAGGGTTAAACTAATATATAAACGGTGTAGCGGTTTTTAAGGATAATAATCCTTTACTTCGCCTATTGTCAATCGAATCGTTCTGAATGAGTTACGAAAAGATTAATTTATTTAATAAGGTTACATTTTGACATTCAGCCGATATTGCTAAACCGGAAGCCACTTAGTTGTGTTGTTCTAACAACTACAAACTACTCAACGAAAAATATACCATGTGTCATAAACTTGAGAATTCCTTTTTGACAAACTAAGTTTTCGAATGCCTTAAAGTCAAAGTAGATATTTAAAAGCTAATAATTCTCACGACAAAAGATAAAAAAAAGCAACCCTTTACTACGGTAGTTAAAAATATACGTTTTGTCGCCGTACTTTTATCTCCTGAATACCTGATGAGTAATATATCTTTCAGTTTTCGTCAATTTATATCCAACTAAATTCCGACAGAAAAGAAGAAACAAATTTCATAGGAATAGCTGCCAAGACAAATTTGATGATTCTTTACTACCGCAAACGTTTACTTGCGCACGTTTTGAATTCTGAATGCCATTTTAACTGTTAATGACCTCTAGTTTAAAGTTAAATTGGGAAGTCAAATAATGCAAGTGCTATTGCAGGTAAGTACGCCACTGCTTAATTTTCGAGAAATAAAAGATATTATTGTTGCTTCACTAGAATTTATACACCTAAAAAGATTCTATATTTACAAATGTATATTTTTACCACTAGTATAAGAAAGAGAAATTTTGACAAATGTTGAAATTACCATAAATATGTAACATTTTAAAATGAATAAGTATTGCGATATCTCAGAGAATAATAAACATTCATTCGATTCATTCCAATAGCTGTTCCATTCTAAAGGATAGAATGCATCAACTCATTTGTAATAAAAGAGAAAGACAAGAAACGAAGAGGGAGAGAGAAGCTGTGAAGATAGTTATATATTATATTAGACATATGATGTTGCTTGAAATTTTTGCTTTTATAGTTCTTCGATAGTACCAACAATATCGTTGGAACATTTACTACACGTTTAAAAAAAGTGCAATATTTTCTATGATTTGGTTTGATTTGTTTTATGGCACAAGAGTTTGTTTGTAGGCTATGCTGTGCCAAAGAGGTGTTTATTTTTCGTTAGGTAAATTAAGAACAAAATTCCTGTACGTTCAATCTAAAATTCAATTAAAATGAGTCAGTTAAGTTAGAAAAATCATGGCAAAAATTCGAGCTTAAACAAGTGGAATAAATCAATAGATTTTTAAAAGGGTAAAAGATGAACATGTGGTTGTCTACCAAGCAACATTGGAAGAGGCACTGCTGTCCTTTTGAAGTGCCGTAAACGATGAGCAGTAAACACAGGGCATTCAGTTAAGATATGGAGAACTGCCATGCCACTATTCAAGTTTGGACACATAGGCATTTGATCATCAAGCAATAGATTGTGCGTAAATCTCGTGTATATGATTCGTAGACAAGCTAAGATCGTTTCACTCTTTCTACTTAAAGAAGGCCAGTTCTCTACAATAGCTTTAATAGTATGTAACCCGTAAAGAATAATTTAATCAATGTATAAAGAAAAATGTAAGAGCTAGATTAACTTTTTTTGGCGATAGATGGAACCACAGTTCTGCTCTGTATGAACTACGAGCAGCGCCCTCTTTTTTCCTAACAAAACCAGACTGCACGCTCAGAGCAGGCAGCCGAAATGTTTAAACCTCTCTCAATCCTTCTGTTGACAGATCAGTCTTGGCGCAGTTAAGCCGCCTATCTTTCTACTGCTGTAACTACGTTCCGTCTAACTTTGCTTATGGCTCTCTAATCTCTAAATCTTAATACCGTAATATTCTTAACCTGTAACATCTATCCCTCTTTAATCTAGCTCACCTAGTAAATATGACTTCATGTAAATTCTCAACATTCTCATAAACTTTTAGTGTATATACCTTCCCCCCTGTAAATTCTCCCTATAGTACTTTAGTAAATGCTTTTGTATTTAACTTGAAGTCGACTCATTTATTTTATGTAATATTTTGTTCTAAATTTCATGTAATAAAACCCCTTAAATCCCCTAGACATAAACTCGAACTACTTACCCCTTAAAGGTAACCCTTCCGTGGGCATTTTGTTTACTTGAACGGAACCCCACATATATTTTGTATGAAATT